TATTTTTTTTAGGGTCCTTACTGTCACTTCCTGAAAAGAAACGTTGCTAAATTGACAGATCCAGTTATATTTTTAATCAAGCAAGAATAAGCATTTCAAAATTCTTTTATTAGTTTAGTGCAAAAGATAACATACCTAAATTTGCAATATGCTAGATCATGTCCTTGTTTCAGAGATAATATGGAGGGACATATTAGAGTGTACATGAACACTCGGCTTAGTACTAAAATAAAGTTAAATAAATGTTTGTGTGGATGTGTTCATTTGCTTTCACATCTTGGAAGCTCCACTGATACATGTTATTTTTTAGTAGAACCAACTGTTGTTCAATTTACATGAATTAGCTTCTCCTGATACTCCAGTATTCAGGTTGGTCAATGGATATGGTGACAAGCAAGCCAAAAGGGTCCATAGTTTACCAAGTATCAGAGAAATACCTCATGGAATAAGTAAGTTTTAGCTTCTCAAAGTGGTGTCACTGTTGTTATATCTATATATGTTTTTTTTTTACAGTAGGTGTTTGAAAAATATACAATAAATATCCCCCATAATATTTCAGGCAGAAACAGATAGGAATGGGATAATTTTGAATGCAAGTGGGATATTAAGGTGGTGGCAATGTGAATTTTCTTTCACTGAACACGTTCTTATTTCCAGAATTTGTTCTCATTTGCAAACCTGATTATTGGGTAGAAGCAGTTCTGCTGACAGGTTTTTCTACTATACTGATGGTTTTCAACTCAAAAGTATTGAAAATTAATTTTAAGGAGGAAATATTTTTCTTATTTATTTATTTTAACTCCATTCAGCACAGTATATATTATATAAATGGATCTATGTTGTGATACCCAAATGCTTACATTTCATTTCTCGTTGTGTCTGTGTGTACAACCATGAAGCTAAAGGTGTTGTTTTTCACTTGGAATGTAGCTATGTTTTACTTTGTTTTATTTACCTGGCAAAAGTCAGGAATTATGGATTACTGAAGGCCTCAACACCTCAGAATGACATTCTAGCTTTTATTATTACTGGGGAATATTGAAACCTTTTCTGCAAACTAATCCATTCCTTAAAGTGGCTACTTCAAAACAAACAAACAAACCACAAGTGTCTCTCAAACATACAACATTATGTCTTATAGTGGGAAACAACAGATGTCCTGATGTTTTCCTGGTTTAATGTCTTTATAGCTTTCCTTTCTATTCTGTCTTTCTTGATTTTCATAAATAGGGAATACAATAACAGTATGCTAGGGGATAGGTGTATGAAAAATGGTGTTTCAACTTTGCTTTTTCCTCAGTTAGAAAACACCTAGTTGAAAAAATCTTTCTGAGAAGAAAATACTGTAGATCATGTCAAAGTAACTCCTGTCCATGCATCTGTGATGTTAAAATAGGAGATTGCATAGTGCATATCAAAGGGATTGAATGTTGTTTGTTGTTCAATGTTATTTATATTTTTGTCATCAGTTCATAAAGTCTTAATTATTAACTCTCTAATTTCCCAGAAAAAAAGTATGTAATTTGTTGAACTAGTTGAAGGAAGGGAAAAAAAAATGCTGACCAATCTGGCATTGTAAGTTAATAGTATAGAACAAAGCATAGTCATAATTAGTCAAGAAAAGGACTTTCCCTGTTCATTCCAGTTCATAATAAAAAGTGCCTCACCAAAGTGACTTAGAAAATAATACATTCAGACTGAGCAGAATTACTGCCTAGCAGATTCTATTTATCTGTAGCTTAAAAAGCAGCTGCGTTTTTGTAAAAAGCAATGAATGTGGCAGTCCTACTTAAAGGTAGAAGAAAAAGAACACCCCTTGTTTTGTAATAAGGGGATTTTCAGTTTAAAAGAGAGAGAGAGAGCCTGTTGTGTGAAGTATGGTTATTACATTCACTGTATTCTATCTCACCCACCAGGAGGCTAATAACGAGGGAGTCAGTGAAGGAGACCAATGCCACAAGGGTTATCTCGCAGCCCCAGATGCTGGATAAGTTGAAGGAGGCAGAATCGCTTTTGGATGACATTCAGGAAGGCCTTGAATTATTATCTGGTGAAGAAAAGACTATTCTTTTCAAGGTAAACAGTCCATTTCATCTGTCTGCTGTTGGTGTTGGTGTAAAATACGTTTATATAAATACCTCTAAAGTTCATTTTTTATCATTTTCTAGGTTTTTTTCCCTAGATGCAGCAATGATCTATTAGGAATCCTTTTTGAGACAAAGGATCCACTCCACCTCCTACCTAAGGAAATGCTTTGAAGGAATTGACAAGCTCACTTTTAATCACAAGAGAGAAATTACCCACATGGAGTCAGCAGAAAATGAAAAAGTAGAGCTCGTGCTGCGAATAATTCCAGCAAGTGCCAAGGGGCTAGTTGAGAAATGGCTTCATGAGGTGAATATCTTTAGCTCTTACTTAGGGTTTGGTTACTGTATGATCATTTTCTCTTTTAGGAGCAATGAATATTATAAGTGTATACTAACTAGCTCTCTGAATATTTGTCAAGATGTTGACAGATTTCAGCCTTATTGCTGTTATTTATTGCAACTAATTCAGCATCTGCAAACATGCAGAAATTAATTCTAATAAAAATCTCTCTTGAATCAGGCTGTCAGCAGAAGTCGGTCTGTGTCTGAAACCATATGTGTGAATATATGTTTGAGTCTACATGTATGTGTTTTTGTGCTTTCATGGTGTAATGTCTATAGTTCAGGAGGATAATCTATGTAAAAAATAATCAAAGAAATGTAAGATTTTGAATGCTTCCCTCCACCCTGCAGAAAGTGTGTCCCATTGTGTTGGAGGGGTTTAATATCCAATCATTTTAACAAAAGGGAAGAGAAATTATGTCACTGATAACATCCTAACCTTTCCCCTTTGGGTCTCTAATCTAAATTCATTGGTTTCAGTATGAAATTAGTTTGGTGACCTTTTTTGTTTGCTTTATTTAACCTTCCTCTCCCAGTGGATGTGAATGGGACCTTCCATTCTTTTTTCTTTCTGGGCATTTTTCTTCCATGTGCTTGCCTTTCTCTAGGGGCAGGATCAGCCCCAGAAATTCCACTTCCCCTTTGTTCAGTGTTATGGGTACTGGTCTCATCCTCAGCGGCTTGTCCCTGGGTGCTCCCTAGGCAAGGGTGAGTGATAGGGACCAGCACCCAGCTCCAGCAGCAGAAGTGAGGGGAGGCTGGGGGATTGCTATTTGTAGAGCCAGATAATTGGGCAGAGACTGGGGTGGGGGGAATCCCTGGGCAGTGAAACCTGAAGAGGTGTCAGGTTAAAGGTGTTTGGCCCTAGTCTGTATTGTGTTCCTACTTGCTGGTGGAGCAAAGCCCGGCATCATAAGCCCACTTGCGAATCCCCTTTTCCCACGTGATGAAGCAGCAGTGTGCCTGCTTTGGATGGAGCCCCCTTAGGGACTGACTGCACACGGTTTAAAATTATCCATCTTCATCACTATTCTGGATAGAGAAGGGAGAAGGGGGATGATTTAGACAAGCCCAAACACTTCCTACCCTGCTCTCTGTGTTGAGCCATTAGCTTGGTTTTGGAATAGTTTGGAGACAAAGTAGTCTTCCATTACAAAACAAACAAACAAAAAAAAGCGTGAAAGTGGAAAAGTGGCCATCCTGAGGAGTTCAGGAATAATCTAGATTCTCAAGCCTATGATATAATTTTTAGTTTTCACTTTCTTCCACAAATGAAACAGGGTTGAGGGAGGTGAGCAGCTGTGTTTATTTTAATATGTCTATTTTAACCCTCACCTAAAAACAAATGGGAATGTTTGGGAGTGCATTAATCTGGATCAGATTAGTGTCTCTTTCTCTCTCAAAAGTGCAACCTGAGATAAATGAAAATAAACTGGAGTTTCATATGCAGTCTTTAAGTCATTTGCATGTTTTATGCATGATAATTGAATTTATTTATGCACTTCCTTTCATTTAATGATTTCTCACTCTTTTCTATGCTATCAACATTTTCTTATGCAAGAAGTAGGATTTAGTAAGCAAGAAAGGATAGCAGTATAAAAATCAAACCCGAGTTAATTTTGAGTTCTAGTGTCAACACTAGATCCGAATTAATATTGGTCCCATGCCAATGGGTCTACATGGCTGGGAAGATGTAGAATATTTTTGGTAAAGCATAGATTTTAGCTTGAGACATTTCTGAAGTAGCCTAGTTTGCTTGCAAGTGCACAAGCAAAATTATTTTCAAATGGCAGTTAAATTATTGTATTGACTTTTCAATGACCCTTGTGTTTCTACTTGGCCAATTAGTAGTAATAAGAAGATGAATAGTAATTACACTAATAAATAACTGTGTTCAGACCAGGACCTCAGTATTATAGTCTGGGTTAGAAAATAAGGATATTTTATAATTTGTCTCATTTGGTCTTTCATCAGGAGAAATATGGACTTTGGTGCTATAGTAAATTTGTCATAGCCAAGAAGGTAAAAGTCCTAGGGATGAGAGAGTCATATTTGACAGGAGCTTTGTGACAGTAGCTGTTTCAGTGTCATAAGTAGGGAATCTTGTTCTGCTTCTGCAGTTAAGCTCAGATGTCTTAAAGATGTCTTAGTGTTGGAGTCTGATTTTTTTTTTATAATGCATGCCAGGAAGTTACTAAGGAAAATTAGGAAAAAGATGCTGGTAGTGATGCTTTCATAGCGTTTATCTATACCAGTTTCTTTTGTGTCTCTTGTCTTTCCTTATGTCTTGAAAGATGTATGTGGAAGTGATATTTTTCTGTGGCGTCCTGTCTTTTATCAGTGAATTAAATGGTTGTGTCTTGTGATTGTTTCCTGATTCTCATAGGTAGGAATGTGTTCAAAAGGCTAAAGCTTTGTTAATTTGTGATGTAACCATTTCAGTGTCTTTCTTGTCATTGAAATGTAGTTTAAAATGTTCAGTAATGTAGCATGAAATCATTGGTTAGTTTTGGAATGGTGATGAAATCATGTGAAGAAAATAAGTTTTGCATCTGATCAAGATAAATTCACTCTAGTGTTTTATGGCTTTTTATTCCTATGTGATAGTAATAAAGTCTCATGTAGGGATGGAAGCCATGAAATACATTGTGAAAAATCATCAACTCAGATGGGGCCATCAGGATAGAATGCTGTAGTTGTAGAGTTATGGAGAATGATTGGAAGATGGTTTAGTGTGTCATCACTTTGACTACCATGGTTTTGCATTTTGTTTCTTCATCCTTCACCCATGAATTTTGATGAGAGGAAATCAGTTTGTAACAAGATGATCCATCTTTACACCAGTGTTCAATATTTAAATTGTTCATGCATCTTTCATTTTCTGCAAAAGATAACACTGTATATGAAACCCTTAGCTAAGAATTTAATATAGCTAATAAACACATGCCAAAATGAATACAAAGAAATGCCAATGAATTTCTAAGTGCTCGGAAATAAGGAAGGAAACAAAGCAAGGTCTACCCTGTTAGCAACTGCTCCAGAATCTTTATTTCCATGTTTAAGAGCAAATCTGAGATGTAACCAGGAATTAAAAAAGAATTCTTTTATCTGCTTGCATGTCTATCTGAAAGTGCTTATTCTTTTCCTTTCTGGAACTGGGATGAAGGCTGACAGTTGTTGGCTCAGAAAACAATTTCTGGCAAAATCTTTACAGTGCTGCTATTCCACATATTGCCTTACTGCTCCATCTCCTTGGCTTTTGTATACCAATTTCCTTTGGGAATGTTTTGGGGAATGTTATTTATTCTGATGCAACTATTTCCAATTTTTCTGTTGTAATATTTCCCTGAAGCATATGTTAATAAAACATTATTTATTTTTTGGTACTTTGACTCCTTTATTATTTCTCTTAGATGTGATTTTTTTTTTTCTCTCTGCTAAAAATACTGACTTTATTGTAACTAAGGTCATCTTCTGGTGAAAAGCCCCAGCAATAATTAGGCAGGATGTATATTTCCCATTTTATTATAAATTTTAATTTCTTATGTAAATCAAACAGCACATGGAGAAATTAACCATGATGAAATTCCCAGATGTTGTGTGGCAAATATTTCAGTCTTACTTGGGCTTAAAAAGGGTAGACATAGGTTTTCTTCAATGATGCCATGTGAAAGAAAAGTATAAAAACCTATAGAACACATTATCTTCAGATTCCTATTAAAAGAAAAACTATTTTCCTCATGTGTTAACAAATTTTTTTCCAATAGTATCCAGGGTGTACAGCCAAGATAAAAAACTGTGTTGATTTTTTGACTTTGTATTTGGCTAGGATACAAATTGTCTTCATCTTTTCAATACCTACTTTGACTGTGACTTTTCAGACACAGTCCTTTAAACATGGGTTAAAGGACTTAGACAAAGTCCTTTAAACATGGGTTCCTGTACTCTTTTTTCTCCATTTCTACTAGTTTAATTAAACTATTAAACTATTCTGTTGGTAAATTTAATTACTAAAAACTATACTTTGAAAAGTAGTCTACAATCCCACCTGTAGATTATGTTTTCAGTACTGCATTTTGTTTCCAAATTATTTCAAGAGTCAAAAGTTACAGCACTCTGAAATAACACCAGAGGTGAGCTCACCCTTGGAAACTAGGCACCAGAGTGGCCTAAATGTGCTTCAATAACTCTCTTCATTACATGTTTGCAAATTTAACTCTGCTGACTACTTCAGAAGCAGCTCTAAGTGCCCATGAGTGTTCAACCCTGGAGTTAATGAGCAATGACCTCTCCTGGAGTGGTCATGCCCTAGGGTGTTAGTGAAGGAGAGGGTGTTACTTTGGGATTATATTTTCTTTCTAGGAGTAGTTAATCTGTAGATGTTGTAGATAACCTTCTTTAGTCTATTTGTAGCTGAAAAAAATCTTAGTATTTATATCCTAATTATTTTCCTTCCCTCTGCCTCCAGGGTGGAGCTGATCTAATTTTTTTCTGAGCAAGAAGTATGCTTTCTTACATATCCTGAAACGTTATGTATCCAGATATACTTCTTTGAATTATACATTGAGAGACCTTGACAATCAGGTTTTAAGTGACACCTTGCCACCATGGCAAAGAGAGTATTTTTCTTGTCAGTGTCAAATTGAGTAAAAAGTGTATGTTTAAAATGTAGTCAGTTGTCAGAAAAAAGCAAGGTCTTGTCACAAAAAAGAAATGCTAAAGTTGCCTCTTTGTTAAATATATTGTAAATGTCCATATTATGTGTGTTCTTAATAAATTAACACCCTTAGAGCAAGAAAATTTTCTACTTATACCTCCAAAATACTTTCTGAGGTAGTGGACATACCAGCTCCTAGGAGAAGCAGCATCTTGGTAATCTCAGATCCAAGCAGCATTTCTTAAGTCTTTCTTGGATAATTCAAACATCTTGAGTGTCGCCTGTTCCTAATTAGCTACTTGGGCAGCTGAATGTTTTGGGAGGATTTTTTTTCAACTTTGAAATGAAACTTTTTGGCTTGACCTAAGTTTTCAATAGATTTGGTCAATCCTATGTGTTGTTTTGAATGAGCTAACTTGGTTACTTTTAAAACATCAGCAAGTAGGGAAATTCCAAGAATCATTACAGAAAAAATGTTTGATCCCTATTTGGGACAAATGGTTTTTTATGGTTATTTCACTAATGTTTCCCAGTGTTTATGGTAATTTTTCCTACCTCCACAAGAAAATACAATGGGTAGAGTGTCTCCTTGGTACTTCAGCCCTGGAAGCACTTGTGCATCTAAAAATTGTTAGAGGAGGTATGTGGGGATGCCCTGTCTGATAAAATCTGGAGACTGACAGTATTCAGAGGCGATATAAATTTGGTGCTTCATCTCTGGCCAAAGTTCTTGCATCTTCTGCAGAATTTTCTGTAAGTGCAGATCTGGTCATACTGAGAAGCTCCTCACTTATGGTCCATTTCAATACATTTCTGTGGGATATTTTTGCTGTCTTCATTGTAGTCTTTTTCCATTGGCAATAAGACCAGACCAGGAAACAAAAAGTAGAGGGACGGGGAGAGGTAGGTAGGCAGTGAAGATGGGGAGCCAAAGAAAGGATCAGGGGGTTAGTAAAAGCTGCATGACTGGATTCATTCCAGCCCTCCTCTGCTGAGAAGCTTTTGTGAAACTCACTGTGGCTTCTGAAAGGAAGGTCCCTATTCATCTGACCACTGAAGGAGATCACACTAATGGGCTCCAAGATCACAAAGACACTCACCACCTGCTGTCAGGAGTGCAGGTCAGGCTTTGTTTGCTGTGCTGAATGCTTTTTTCCTTTAAAAACTGGACTGTAGGTATATAATTGGCAGAGTTTATGATTATTTCATGTCAGCATTTAAAATTTTAAAAGATAAAAGAGAAAAACAGATACTCTCCAAATAGTTACAGGTAGGCATAGGATGTATTTCTTTCCACTGACACAAGGTAGAGCTCACAAGAAATTTCTGGAATGTGCAAAAGTGTAGATAATAAAACCATATCTCAAACAATTTGATTTAAAACTAAGATATTACATTTAATGCCTTTTTATTTTCATAAATAAAATGAAATTTTATTTAATTTTTATTGAGGATTATTATTTTGGCAGACAATATTAGTGTATTCAAGTTTTCTAAACAACGTATTTAAGTCCTCATTGAACTTTTTACCTTAAAACTTTTGCAATTAATTTCACATTAACAAAATGGATCTTTAATTTTATTTGGCTTGTTAGAAGAAAAGAAAATCTACATTTATAACAAGTCTATCAAATTTTTCCTTTGAGAGAAATAGAAAATAAATTACCTATAATATAAAAAATGTTCAGGGTAAACTGTTTCACAGTTTCACACAAATTTAATTTATATTAATACAGGATTCTCAAGATTGTTTAATTTTGGCTTGAAATAAATAACCAAATTTGAAATGTAAACATCAAAAAGAATATGTATTTGAAATCATAGGAGTTCTGCCAGTGGTGTCTGAAGTGTGTAGTGAGTCTTGTATGTGAAACAAGACAGTGTCTTCTTTTTCTTATATGACCTCATGACCGCCTATTTTAAGAAATAAATTTCTTTCTGTTTTGAGATAATAGGAAACTTTTGAAGGATATATTGTGATAAAAATTGAAATAAATCATGCTTGAAGCACGAAATGTAAACACTGGAGGTATTGCATGCTTGATCCAAGTAGGAACACAGCTGCAAATAATTTGAAAACTAAACTGTATTTTTACATCAACACAGACAAAAATGCCTTATTAAGTAATTGCTATTGTGACATAAGCTTTATGCAGTAGTTAAATTACTTGGCAGAGCTAAAACATCAAGCTACCTTGGGAATCTACCACATTCTTTAATTTTCTGATTGATTAAATTGATTGTTTGACATTTTGGCAGAGCTTTGAAATCACGGCATAACAAAGACGCCTTTCATCGCTCATTATTTGCTCTCTTCAGGCTTAGCGCAGATCCTTTGAAATGAAAGGTTTAAGGTGCTTCTTCCCTGGGTAATTTTTGTTCCAGTTCACATTTTTGCTAGGCGTGTCACATTTCCGACTTAAATTCCCTACTGTGTAAACGCAGTTCCTTTTAATAACAGTATAACCTATGGAGATATGTAATCTTGAAAAACACTTCTTTATATCTCACAATGGTGGTGCTGAAGAATTCAGCATGATCTGTCTGCTATCAGAAAGGCTCTTAACCCTTCCACCACCAGCATTTTCTGGAGCGTGGGAAGCTGGGCAAAGTGGTGGGTGTTTTTGTTCAGGCTGTGACAATATTCAACTTTCTGCTGACATAGGGGCAAGAAGACAACATCATACAGTGATTTTGGGGAGCAGTTCAGAGACAACCAGGTAGGTTGGAGGCCAATTGACACTGTTACCTTGATACCAATGAGAAATGCACTGCCTGATTGCATTTCATGTGAGTAATGAGCAACAGTCAGACAAACCAATCTTACTTTCAATGTGACTGCACAGCTCTCTCTACTGAAAAGTAGCTCATGAGGGTACTTACAGGCTTATAGGCAGTCCTGCATCATGCTGATTCTCAACCACAAGGCTAGTGCAGCTGAATAGCAAGCACATAGGTGAAGTGAGACCTTCAGCGTCTTGTACTCA